TGTGTGTGTGTGTGTGTGTGTGTGTGTGTGTGTGTGTGTGTGTGTGTTATAGGTGCATGTGGGTGCACTTACCCAAGCATGCGTGTGTGGAGGCCAGAGATTGACACCAGGTGTCTTTCTTCATTGCTTACAGAACCCAGAACTCACTGATTTGTTATATTGAACTCTAGACTCCACTTTCCCCAGCCCAACTCCACCCACGACACCCAGCCCATGACACCCAGCACAATGCCTCAGGCAGTGAAAGTGACCAACAAGTGTTTGTTGAAGGAGTGAACGGTTCTTTCTCTGTGTCTGTGTGTGTGCAAGAGGACCTCAGTCCCCAGAATCTTCACTAAAGGTGGCTGTGGTGCCATTCACCTTGTTGAGGTGCTGTCCTCTTCCTTGTGTGCAAGCTCTCTGCTGACTGAGCCACCTTCCCAGCACAGTGATTCTACTTTTGAAGCATCATCCTAGACACAAATGGAAACCCTTTGACCAAGGCACATTTGGAGAATGACCAGGAAGAAGGGAGGTTTCCTTCCCAGGTGACAGCTGAAGCGTCACAGCAGGCCCATCAGGCACACTGTTGTTTTCTCTAGTTGGTGAATAGGGCACACTCTAAAACCCTCCTTGAACTGAACTGAACTTGAGAGGTCTCTGCCTTGTCAGCGTTCTGTCCATAGCAGCACTTGCAGTGTGGAGGTCATCTTACCGAGACACAAACAAATTAATGTGTCAGGGCAATGACTCACAGAGCGCTCTGTTAAAAGAAAAATGTCTCCAATGGCATGCCAATAAGAACTAGTCTTTGGAACAGTGGCATCAAATTATTTGACCTCCGTGTGACAGGACAGTGATTGACATAGGATGAGCTTGTATGTGCTGCGGTATGATTTTCATTTGAAAAATTTCCCTTAGAAATAGTTTTCCCTTTTCTCTGCTGGCTCCCTGTTTGCTTAATGTCAATCACAAAATTGATTGCAGGCCTAAATAACAGGAATACAGCTACACATCACATCCTCGGAAATGATTGTATGACTTGGTCATTTCATGACTTTAATTTAGCAGAGATTTATGAAATTATGTCATATGGGCCATGGGGTAAATGAAAAATTAAATGGTCCTTAAATGACCCAAATGGGTGGCAATTATTTTCATCATGAGTCTTAGAGTTTCAAGAATGAGGGGAAAAATTTAATTTGCAAAAACAAAAAATAAATGTGTCAGAGGGTGGAATGGTGGCTTAGCAGCAGGAAGCACTTCTGCTGTGGCAGGGTTAGTCTAGGGGTCTTGATCAGGCTCCTTTTCTCTGCCTGTTAAAGAATTAAGAGGGAGAATAAAATCTCAGGACACAGCAAACATCAGCTGGAAGAATCAGCCATGGAAGAAAGACTTTTGTTGGTGGTAAACACACACACACACACACACACACACACGAAGCAGACACACAGACAAAAAGGCCAGCTGCGGAGGGGAGGGGGACTTGGAAACCAAAAATCAGTCTCTACCTGAGGGCTCAGGGTTTTATCTTCTCTGAAGGGTCTTTCTCCCCTAACTTAGGGTCGGTCATTTTGAAGAAAGGATGGCTGATCGGCACAACTGTTAGGTAACATGTCCTGACGTGGCCTTGAACTTGGTGAGCCACTCCATCAGCAGGCCTACCGGTGGAAGAAAAAGCCTGTATGGCCTTTGTTTTAAGCTGCCAGGCTTTTGTATCAGGTCAAGAGAGTGCAAAAGAAGCCATCCATCTTGGAAGCTCAGCACCTTCTGCCTATAGTCCTTCTCATTGTCTCTCTGCCTGTCAGAGAATCTGTCTGACTCTTAGCCTCTCCAGAGGACCTTGGTTCAATTCCCAGCATACATGTGGCAGCTGCCAGCTGTCTGTAACTCCTAGCTCCAGGGGATCTGGTGTCTTTCTTTTGGTCTCTTGGCACACATGTGGTGCACATATACACAAACAGGAAAAATTTCCATCACATGAAATGAAACTAAATAAGTCTTTTCAAGAAGACCAACAGAGCCAACTAACCAGGGCCCAGAGGGGCTTGCAGAGACTGAACACCAACCACCAACCAAGGGCCATGCATGGACTAGACCTAGGGCGCCTATTCATACCTAGTAGCTGATAGGCAGCTTGGTCTTCACATAGGTGTCCTAGTAAGGGAAGCAGGGGCTGTCTCTGAGGTGGACTCTGTTGCCTGCTTTCCAATCACTTCCCCCTTGCAGGGCTGCCTCACCATGCCACAGGGGAAGAGGATGCATTCAGTCTTGATGTGGCTTGATTGCTGGGTGGGTTGGTGGGGTGAGTAGTAGGGGAAGGGGGATAGGAGAAAGGGGAAGGAGGGTGGAACTGGGAGGAGAGGAGGGAGGGGCTATGATTGGGATATAAAGCAAATAAATAATATTTTAAAAGCATTTAAAATATCACAGATGTGATTATCTTTAGGTTATCTATAAAAATATTGAATAATAAGATGCATATAAAAATATGCACCCATATTAGTGGCTCCAGGATCAGGTACTAGTTTGAGCATGCTTCGTTTAGGGTCTTCAAAGAGTTTTAGGGAGAGAAAATAATAGTGTGTGTTGTGTCTGCCTCTGTAATTCTCATCTTTGAAAACAGCACAATGGTTTTCTTTTTTTAAAGAGTGTCTGCACAGGGCTTGGGCTGGGGCTCAGTCAGCAGGTTGCTTCTGTAGTGTGCATGGTGCCCTGAGTTTGATTCCTAGAGTCCATAAAAAGCTGGGTGTGGTGGTATATGCCTACAGTCTCAGCACTCTGGAAAATGGAGGTGGGAGGATCAATAGTTCAAGGTAATCACCAGCTACAGTGTATGAGGCCAGCATGGGCTACTTAAACCCTGTCCCCAAAAAGAAACAAACAAAAAGGGAGGAAGGGAAAAGGGGCTAAAAAGAAGGAAAATATCACACCTCTACCCAAGGAACTGTTGCCAGTTAATGGCTGCTGGGGGAGAAGGGAGAGGAGTCGTATTTCTTCAGTGGTGTGGCCACTTGATAGTCAACCACAGTTGCTTATAAAAGCAACCCTACCTAACCATTTGCCTTTTAAAAAGACATGGAAGTCCATAGGGCACTTGTTAGCAAGAAAGGGTTGGGAAGAAGTAGGCAGGAAATAAGAGGGGATAATGAGGGTGAATGTGGTCAAAATAAACCATACGCATGCATGAAGTTTCTGAGAATAACGTAAGAAACCCCTAGAAGCAAACAAAAAAATAAGCTGCGTATGAGAAGGCCACGCTTTAGTCCCCTGCGGCAGATTACCCCAGAGATAAATGACGAACTTTATGCTGTGTTTCCTGTGATTTTAGGTGGGAACCGCAAGATACATGGCCCCGGAAGTTCTAGAATCCAGGATGAATTTGGAAAACGTGGAGTCCTTCAAGCAGACAGACGTCTACTCCATGGCTCTGGTACTCTGGGAAATGACATCCCGCTGCAACGCTGTGGGAGGTACGTCCTTGGCCACAGCATAGTCGGGTGATGTGATAGTGGGGTGATGTGACGCCGCTGGTCCCTGTTCCAGATGACATAATGCTGTCTGCTTCAGGCATGATTGCGGGCTTCAGCGCCGACCAGTGCACGCCACGCTGGGAGACAGTTGAGAGTGGGTAGTGGGTAGTTGCTCTAGAGTTTTGGGGGATGTTTCTGAATAGCCAAGGTTTCTAATTGAAAAGCCATGTTTTGGAACATACAGATTTCCATCTGTCTCCTTTCACACAGTGTTTAGAACTACTTTTCTCCCCACAGATATTTTAATATCTTTCGAGAGGTGCTTTCTTGAAGCAGGAGTAAAATTTCTATTTACCTAAAGGATAATAATAGTCAGATGGGCATCTGCATTTTGTCTCTTCTCCTTCAGATTTAAAGGACTGGGTAAAAAAAAAAAAAAGATTTGACTAAGTATTTACTCTTGTAGAGATGACTTCTTTTTCACAAAACAGAGTTGGCTGGTTTGTTTGTCTGTTTGGGTTTTAAGAGTGTGGGGAAGCTGGTGGAGGAGACAGCTAGCCTCTAAGACTTCTCTCTTTTTCTCTGTGAACCTCAGGGGGTTGGCTATCTGCTTTCCTTCTGTTCTCTGATATTCCCCAAGCAGAGTACCACAGCTCCGCCAGGTTCCCTCCCTCTCTTTTCTGTGTGCTGTGTGAATGACAAGTCCCAGATGCCTTAGGGTTTCCATCACTGTGCTGAGATACTGAACAAAAAGCAACGTGAGGGCGAAGGGCCTTATTTTATCTTACACTTCCAGGTAAAGAGTCCACTGTCCAGGAATGTCAGGGCAGGCACTCAGACAAGGCAGGAACCCGAGCAGGGAGCTGAAGCGAAGCCCACGGAGGAACGCTGTTTACTGCTTGCTCTTCGTGCCTTGCTTAGTCTGATTTCTTAGAGCTCTCAGACTGCCTGTCCAGGGGTGGCACTCCCCCCAGTGAGCGGGGGCCTCCCACATCAATCATCAATCAAAAAGATACATGCATACACACACACACACCCTCTCACAAACATGCACACTCGTACACACACACACACACACACAAATTTAAATTAAAAAGATAAAAGGTTAACACAGAGAGAGCAGTATCTAATTCCAGCACTCAAGATGCTAAGGCAGGAGGCTGAAGCAAGTTCCAAGTTAGCCTCGGCTACATAGTGACCTACAGGCCAGCCTGGACTACAAAGGAAGATCCTGTTCCAAACACACAAACCAGTAAACAACAATAACAACAACAGCAAAAATGCAGAGACTCCAGCCCACCCATCTGCCTTCAATCCAGTTTAAAACTCGGCCTAAATCCAAAAGAGAAGAAACAACCTAACCCTAGCAAAGCCGGGGCATTAACAGTGGTGCAGTGCTCTCCGCTGAACCACAGAGCTCACTTATCCTCCCGAGAAACCAGCACCGTGCTTTTCTGGAAGAGGACTTGGGCTAGGATTCACCCGGATCCAACTCTTGAGCTTCTGTGGTCTTCCTTTGTTTACCCAGCATAGTCTTCTGTGACCTTGACACTTGTGATGTTGAAGCACTTCAGAGCCTGGATCCCACTTAGGGTTTTCTCTTCATTAGATGGAAGGTGACGTGTCGTAGTAAGAACAGCACAGGCACTGGGCTGCAGGCACTGTGGTAACTTCTGAGCCCATGGCCGGGGCTGCTGAGGTCAGCTGGGAAGGCTAGCTGCTGGGTTGCCCTCTGTAGAGATGCCATTTTCCAGTCTGTAATGAACATACCTGGGGGAGGAGGATCTGACTTCTTCATAATCTCACCTGCGAATCTGAGGCTCTTCCGAGGATTCTCACTTGAAACAGTTGTCACTGTGATGTTTGCCACGTGCAGATGTTTCTGTTTGTTCTTATCGCTTGTTACCGGGATCTCTATCCTTCCTTGTTATTTATCCATTATTTGTGCATCTAGATCAGCTGAGGACAGTGGGTATTTCTTTTCTTCTGTGGATGTCCAATAATGTCATTACTTATTTTACTGTTCAAAAAGCAACCTCTCTGATTACCGACCCAAACTCCCCAGCATATTGTCCAATGCCATTCCAGCTGGACTCATTGCTGGTTCTGAGTCTTCATCCCTTGCAGAAGATGTTTGGCTCCCCACACTACAAGGAGGAGCTCACTCACCACCTCCCTCATCCCTTGCCGGGTCACAGTCATCTTTTTCTCTGGCCTCTGTGGACATGGGGATTCCTATCTGCCTGGCACAACTCTCCCAATTTCCTGCCAGAGAAGTGTTTTCTTTCTTTCTTTCTTTCTTTCTTTCTTTCTTTCTTTCTTTCTTTCTTTCTTTCTTTCTTTCTTTCTTTCTTCCTTCTTCCTTCTTTCTCCTTCTCCTCCTCCTTCTTCTCCTTCCTCCTCCTTCCTCCTCCTCCTTCCTCCTCTTCCTTCCTTCTTCCTCCTTCTTCCTCCTCCTCCTCCTCCTTCTTCTTCTGTGTGTGGGTGTGTGCGCACGTGCACGCGCGCGTGTATTATGTGTGTGTGTCCCTAACAGCTGAATTTGTTTAATCAACGATCAGCCATTATACATGATTTTCTGCTTGGAATGTCCAACAGCTCCAAAATGAACCTGTAGACTGACGGGAGCCATGGTCAAGACAGTGCTGTTCCTGACGAATCAGGGTACCTGGCTGGCAGTATCTTCTCCCATGCTTTGAGAGCCCTGTTTCTGCAGACAGCCCTGAGCATGTCTGCTCTCCATCTATCAAGATGGTCAGCCTAGGGCTCTGGTGCATTCTACTTTCATTGTAATCACTGGCAAGAGCCCCTTCCTGTTGATATTTGCTGCGTGAGGAAGAATTGAGGCATGTGAGGTAGAGCCAAGCTCACTAACTTTTATGAGTTCTAAAAAAAGCTCCAAGATAAACAAGTTTCCTTGTGGAAGGATCCAGGATCCGGTGTGTTCGGCTCATCTCAGAACATCCCTGTAGAGCCCTTTGTGGTAAAAGCAGACAGAAACTGGATGGAACCCATCCTGGCTCTGCTTTACTTGATCGTAACTGCCCACTCCTGATTCTCCTGTCTCCACTCTGGCTGCAGAAACAGAGGCTGTGTCCACCCTCAGTTACATCACTAGGTCTAAGTGTGTGATGCCGTATGGCAAGGCCCTGAGAATACATTGCCATCTTCTGAAAGTATTCCCGTGACCCTTTCACCAGCTCTTGAATTCCAAAGAGGAAGGGTGGTGATGATAATGATGATAGTGGTGATGGTGATGTGATGATGATGGTGATGTGATGTGACTTGATGGTGATGGTGGTGATAGTGGTGATGGTGGTGATGGTAGTGGTGATATGATGTGATGGTGATGGTGGTGATGATAATGATGATGGTAATGATGATGGTGATGTGATGTGATTTGATGGTGATGGTGATGGTCATGAAGATAGTGGTGATGTGATGTGATGGTGATGATGTAGCAGCAGTAGTATTGGATAGATAGATGAAGGGCCTTTGAAATAGGTCAGGGGCAAAGGTGTTTACTGTAAAAGGCTGACGATCTCAGTTCAATCCTTGGAGCCCATGTAAAACTGGAAGGCGAGAACTGACTTTACTGAGTTCTGACCTCCACACACATGCCACGGTCCATACACCCACCCACCCACCCTGCAATAATTATACTTAATAAATTTAACAATGCCGAATGTTTCCTTCATCAGCCATCACAGATTACTGTTTTACTCATGATCGGGCCAGCTGATAGCCCATCTAGTTTTAAGTGAACAGCTGAGTTTGGGCCAATCCTGGACAGGTGGTCCTGGGAGCGCTGAGAAACCAGACTAAGCGAGCCATGAAGAGCAAGCCAGTAAACAGCATGCATTATGTGACAGACTTCCTAGGCGAATTAAGTCTTGCCTGCCTTGCTTTAGAGACCCTGCAAGATGACGAGTGTGACTTTTCTGTGGCTGCCAAGCCCTGCCCCTTCTCCCTTCTCCAGTCCCAGGTCCTTCCTGCTGCACCCACTCTCTGGGGAATCTCACTATAAACTCCTTTCAGGTCCTGTCTCTCAACACTCATTTCAGGCCGTTTGCTGAGCCTAACACTCTGGCATGAGTTTTCTTGTAGTCGGGGGCTGTTCACCTAGAGCAACAGCTGCAAGCGTGGGCAGCAGAAGGAGACAGAGAGCTGGATGTCCATGCCAGCCTAAATCAGTAGATACCAAGGCAGGACACCGAGAGGTGTGGCCCGGGTGTCCTTCGGCAAAGCTCTTCTCTCAGCCAGCCTCTCTTCTGAGCAGAGCAGCTGCGGGGAGGGGGAAGCGCACAGCACAGCCCTGGAGGTGTTACGCTGGACATTACCAGGAAGACAGTGCAAACAGAGGAGAAATAGTTCCTTCTGGAGCCAGACCTAAGCTTCCTTTACTATGAAATCACACTGTAGCGCTCTACAGACCATCACAGTAAGCAAAGAGCAGTCTGAAGAGGAAAGTTTGGGCCAGGTTAAGAAAGCCCTGAAGGAATCCAAGCCAAAGCAGTCGCTTCATCTTCTGTGCACCAAATCCACCAGAATCCTATTTGGAGCCTCTGCTGTCACCCTCCCTTCCCGGAGGAGAAGCAGTCTTCTGGGGGTGGGCAGCCAAGTTTCTGAGAGCCCTGTGGCCACCGGCCTGCCTCCTTCTGGGGCAGTCAGTCTGCTTAGTGGAGAACTGGGAAAATAAATACTCAGTAGTATGTGGGGGTCAGAGCCCCTCTGCACATCCCACACCACAGGCACACGGCTCTTCAGAGGTACTGAGTGCTTGCTAAGTACGTCAGTACTCAGTGCTTGCTAAGTACATCAGTGTAAGTGCTGAGAGGTCCTCCTTAGGGCCCTGGCTTCTGAACGTCTGCAGCAGTGAATTTCCCTGTCTCCACTGGTGAACCCTTCCTGAGCATGTGTGCACGCATGCATTTATGTGTGTGTGAGAGTGTGGGTGCTTGTGCATGTGCAGGCCAGAGGTCAACCTCTGGTACTGTTCT